AGTGTACTTTGGTACCTTGATAGCGGATGCTCCAAGCACATGACCGGGGATGCATCCAAGTTTCTCCAAATCAAACCCGCTAAAGGAGGAAACGTAGTTTTTGGAGACAATAGCAAGGGAAAAATTATCGGCGTTGGTTCAGTAGGTAAATCTGAAAACTCCTCTATAGATAATGTCTTGCTTGTTAAAGGTCTTAAACACAATCTCTTGAGCATAAGTCAATTATGTGACAAGGGAAACCGTGTGACCTTCGATTCAAAATCATGCACGGTAGAACGCCTTAGTGATAATAAGGTCATTCTACGTGGTGATAGAATCGATAACATATATATGGTTAACTTAGACAAATCTCCTTCTGGCTTTGCTAAGTGTCTCATGAGTAAAGAGGAAGACACTTGGTTATGGCACCGAAGGGTAGCTCATATGAACATGAACCTTTTGAACAAATTGGTTTCACAAGACTTAGTAATTGGCATTCCAAAACTTATGTTTGTAAAAGACACCATATGTGATGCATGTCAAAAGGGGAAGCAAGTTCGGGCTTCGTTTAAATCTAAGAACGTTGTTTCAAAGTCTAGACCGCTTCAACTTTTGCACATGGATCTCTTTGGTCCTTCTAGAACGAAAAGCTTTGGTGGCAATTACTTTGCGTTTGTGATTGTCGATGACTACTCTAGGTTTACATGGACCTTGTTTCTTACTCATAAAAGTGGTATCGGAGCGAGGAAGCAGGCTCGAATCCCACGGGTGTCGCTGGGGGGGAGATTGTTGGTCTTATGGGGGACCATCGATCACCCTTAGGGATTCGCTATTGTGCTAGTCACGGTATCGGGTACTGACAGCCCAACCTGACGAGGTACACGAGTCGTGTATCTTGCGAAGCCCCTCCTGTCCATCCATCGCTCAGTAGTGGGGCTCCGCTCTGCCGTAGTGAACTATAGGGGGTGCCTTATAGGAATCTACCTCGGCTTGGGGCTACAGAGAGATGTGGTTAAATATAAAGTGTCCACCTCCCTATCACCAATTGGTTTTAGGAAGCATTTGACACCTCCTTAACTTCAGAACTCTGTAGTTAAGCGTGCTGGAACGGGAGTAGTCCCAGGATGGGTGACCCACTGGGAAGTTCCAGAAAACGATCCTACAGGTTGATGTTGGTTTCTAAGACTATCTAGAAGACGTCTAAGATAACTTAGAGATAGGCCTTGCGGGTATAATTATGAATATTCGGTGACCTGGATTAAAACGTACGTGCGGGATCTACAAACCAAACTAGAGGAACTCGTTTGGGGATAGCACCCAACCCGACAGTGAGCATTCCGCTGTACGGTTTTTGGTTGACCTTAAGCGAATGTAAGTTTATCTTAAACTAGGCCTAGCTTAAGGATTGATGAAAGTACCTTAGACTAGAATATAGTTTAAGAATTGATTAGAAATATCTTAAACTAGAATCCATTTAAGTATTGATAAATATGAAAGAGATTGGCCTTAGACTAAGAATAGTTTAAGGATATGGATGAATACGAATGTTGAATATTGAATTTGAATGTTGAATGTTGAATATGAAAATGAATGTTGAATATGGAACAATGAATGTTGAAAAGTGAATATTCAAACTGAACACTATGTGCATGATATCAAATGGTTGATTATGAATTGAGATTCAGTTTATGTGGATGTTTGACGCTTTAGATATGCTTACTCAGCTTTACTGCTAAGCGTGTAGTATATTTTATTTGCTACACGCGGGTTAATAGAAAGAATAAAACGACGTGATCCTGGAGGCAGACGAAGGCGAGATTGTCGGAATGGATGTGATGGTTTTGAATTATTTTTGTGATTATGATTCGTTAAGCTTCCGCAATATTGTTGAATACTCCGTACTGTTTATGATATGAAAAGCTATTATTGTGATAAATAAAAGTGTTTGAAATGTTTTGAATTTTACGATTACCAAGTTAATACTTTAGTCCGAAAGGGGCTGTAGACCTGGACGGATTAGGGTGTTACAATTTAATTGGTATTGGAGCAAATGGTTTTAAACCAGATCTTCGGATCAAAACTTGGATTTTTTTTTTTAAAAAAATTATATTTTACATATTATATACATATTTTGGCTGTATACAAAAAATTGTCAATCACATCCACGACTCTCGCATCCCTCTGCTCCAGAAAAAGGTATGAGAATTTACTTGGTAAATAATGGCTCTATTAGAACTAGATAGCAAATGATTAGTATCGAAATCGTATCGAGCATAGACTATAGTTGAACTTTCGTACTCAGTGAAGAGACGAAAGAATAAACGAAATATGTATAACCTCCTGATACGTATGCATCGCATCGCGAATGACGAAACTGATCTGAAGCACAAAAGTGTACGAAAGTGAGACGACTATGAAGAAACGATTAATGTTGAATAACATCTGTGAAGCCGATGTCAAAGACGATCTGATCGCTGATTCAAACACAGACATTTAGAATCAATAAACTCTGTTATCTGAAGTATCCCATTCTGATTTCTAATTCATTACGTTGCAAATATGTGATTATATCACATAAATCGAAATTGTTCGTTAAGCAACAATTCCTTGCAAAACCTCGTTGAAATACCATACGAGGAAATTGACATTATCCTTAGTATGAATTGACTGAACGTCATTGCTGTTGACAACTCTTAATGAAGAATTCCTCAACTGAAGACCGATGATGGTAACCTCATAGAGGTGAAAGCAAATCTGATTTCTAAACCCACCGAGTTCATCTCGAATATATATGCAAAAACGTCTCATCCATAAGAAGTGTGAAGTCTACGCGAAAAGAAACATCTGAACTAAAGTAACGTACCGAGAGTATGTCACCTTTCGTATATGAACTTCCTAATATTTCACCGTTCCGAGAAATTGAATTCTCTATCAATCTTGATCCTAGAAAGGACCAATATTCAAAACTCTGTATTGAACGTGTTTCCATCAATGACTTCTTGAAAAAGAATCATGTGATCAAGTGTTTCCTCCTTGGGAGAATACTTATTTTGTCCATACGTGAATCCATGAGACTCTATATAAACTACTGTCACTTGAACAATTCGTTATCCTTTACCTCGTATCATGACTTATTTGATTAGCTTAAAGAATCCATTGTATTCTCTAAGATTGACTTACGGTCAAGATACTCACAAATCCCTATTAAGAAACTTGAACAAACTGACGATCAAGAATCGCCACCCTTTACTATGAAATGACGACTTATTCGATCAAATTCAAATAACCTGTTTGTTAGAAGCTATAGACCGCTCAACCTTGTTGAATGAGCTGGTGCCTTGTTATGAAGCGATTAATGACCTAATTGCTTATCATCGAAAAAGTCGATGTAGTCTGATTGAAATAATGAAGTAATTTACTCGTTCGTATATGTTGATGAAAGATCGCGACCGTGGTAACGATACAAAACATGACGTGAAACAGTGACACCAACAATAAAAGACTGAAGAATAAAAGTACAGCTCGCAGTGGCCATACAACGTAATATAATATTTATAGATAATATCATTCTCACACAAATACAACTGGGATTACATGAAGTAATCTTACAAATGTAACTCCAAATCTAAGCCCTCGAGATTTGCGAACTCGTTATAATTAGCACCAGGACCAGGAAAAGCTTTAGCAAACTCTAGTTTGTCTAAAAGCTCATCAACAAAGAAAGAAGAGATGAACAGTTTCCTCTGATTCAAAGCCATGAAGTTCTGCCTCACCGCATCATCTAGAAACTTGATTAGGTTATTGAAATAACCGTCAATGTTCAAAAGACCCATGAGATCAAAGTGAATAAACCTTCCATAGTGTCAATCCCTCCAGGAAGTATGATGAAGGCTTCCACAATATGATTCATTTCGAAATACTTATAGTAATTGTTGGAAACGGTGTACTCTACACCGTACGTAGGTCTGTAAACATGTCGTGTTGCTATATACCCGGGTATGAAACCTCTAACTCTACAACCATTATTATAGACTGTTGAAGTTACAACTCCTTGAAGGCCAACGTTGCCTCCTCGATCCGTACGTAAGCCTGATTTTTCGCCTTACCAATTTCCGTCCTAGATCAACCGCTGTAGCCATGAACCTTGGATTGCTACCAAGAGCATGACTACCAAGTAGACCAGCGAATCTTATGGTATAAGAAAGAGCTCGAGAAGTTCCTTCCATAATGTGAGAATGTGAGATGCTCTTGCCACAATTTGATATATATAGACTCTGAAACCGGACCATTGATGGAAAAGTAATTATCACCAGCCTAAAAACGTACACGAAAGTGGATTCGCTCCAGACAAGAATGTACGCACCAATACTACGGTCTGCTGACGACATGACATATTGAGACTCATTAATAGTTAGGCTCATTGTCCTAAAATACATTCAAATCCGAAACAAAAAAGTCAAAATGACCATTTCCCTATGATATTGACCCTTTGAGTAACTTCCAAAGAGTGAAATATTGAAGGATCAAAACCAACGATTAGTGAAGATGATTCGCAAACGATATCTTTGTATCTTGTGACTCATATCTTCGAGATACTCAAAGCTTTCTGTGTTAATTACACACACTTGAAAAAAAAATCCGCTTCATCAATCTTGAAAAGATTGAATTCCATTGTTTGTATCAAATTATTGAAAACTTGTCTCAACTTTTGGTTCTTCTTTATGATATCGACCTTTGAAAACTATACATTGTGAAACTACATGACTTGATCACAATAGTAAAACTACCCTGACTTGAATGTTATGTTAAACCTCTCTTTGTGAACTACAAAATGGTTAATGCGATTACATTATCTTTAAATCGATGATCTTATTGGCAAAACAAACTCCCTTATAACCCTAAATGAAAGGTGTGTGAAACAACCAGAGAAGAAATGATGTCACAAAGAACAAGCTGAATCATTCAAGCGAAAATCCCAAACTAGTAAAGATTCATCACTCTATGAATTCATGAAATGAATTACGTACTGAAGATCTTCTCTTCTTCCCTCGAAACAAGATCAGCCATAGTGCTACAATCGAACCTGTTGCTATCATGTCTAGATACTAGTGTTAACCCCGTGCTCCGCACGGGCTCGTATATTTTCTAAATTTGAAATTATATAAATTTAATTTTATTTATTTTTGTTTTCTTATAGTGACATAGTATGTTTTATATGAATTTTTTTAACATAATATGTGTTATATGTTTATAGAATCATTAAAAATGAATTTTTTTATACAAAATATAGTTAAAGTAATAATTTTTAACACTAAAAAAATTATATTCATTTAATGTAATACAATAAAATGTATTAAAAGATCTTCTTAAAAAAATGGACCAATGAAATGTCTCCACCTTATTCATGGGATTCCACATCAATCATGGGTGTACATGTAGATGTACATGTGGCATGCCACATGTTAACACCACAACTAAGGAACTCAACTTTACATATATATATATATATATATATATATATATATAGGATAGGATAGGATATGATAGGATAGGATATGATAGGATAGGATAGGATAGGATGTTTTCAAATTAATGAAAGAAATTTGAATACGACAAGTCATACATGAGACTCTACTCGAACATCATCACCTATGAATGCGAAGACTTATTAAACGATAATGAGAGCTACCATGAAGTGAATGAAGAAATGTTTCGATGTAAATCGATGATAACGAACTACTGTACAACCAATCGATAGTACTCCCTCATAAATGATGATAAATCCCATATCTTTAAAATCTTGGACCACTAAATGCCATTGATGTACTTACGAATTATTGTTGAATTATGTGAACGATATGAAGATAACTCAAGTAACTTGAGAATGTTACATTATGACGTATGAATTAAACAACCTCCAAATCTTCCACTACATCTATCGCGAACTTGAAATTACAAATGCTACTGAAGAACCTTCAAATAGAGGAAGAATATCGTTAATCGGCGTTGTACAATGAAGAATTTAGAATGAACTAAGTTTTGTGCAAGTATGTCAAGTATACAACCCTATACACCACGAAGGAATCTTAGTTGATGATACTAAAGGATCACTGAAATGCGTGACTTAATAAAAGATTGTTAACGTCTTGAAGTAAGAATGAGTTTGATAACATAGACAGTTTGAGATTACGTATCCGTGTGGATAATGACATAGAAACTGGAAGAAAAAGCTGGATTTTGAATGAAACTAGAAAACATTGCAAAAAAATTGGTAGAAACTGGGAAACAATTTCAAAAATCTATTGATATAGTATTCTTTATATAATTGTTATAGTTATTATTATTATTATTATTGTTATTAATTAATAATTATCATTCTTATTGATTATTATTATTATTATTATTATTATTATTATATTCATAATAGGTAAAAAATCAATACAATTTGACTACATGAACAATATAAATGTCATTTAATTAGAGACGCAAATGGTAGTATAATTATTATTTTTGAATTTAAAATATAAATATTTTCCTAGGTCAATTTAGATTAATGAAATACTCATAATTTTTAGAACATAGTTTCGTGTCATGTAAATTAAAAAAGAATAAATTTTCCATTAAAATTTTACTACACACACACACACACACACACACACACACATATATGTATATGTATGTATATATATGTGTGTGTGTATATATATATGTGTGTGTGTGTGTCTATATATGTGTGTGTGTGTGTGTGTGTGTGTGTGTGTGTGTGTGTTGCGCCTTCATCTTCAACCTTTAACCGTTGAACTCTGAATCAACTCAAGGTAGACATTCTTCATCGACTAAGGTAAGCTTTCAGGTTCAAAGCTTCAATTTCATCCCTAGTCGCAATTTTCTGTGCTTTTTTGTTGGACCAGTACCAGTGTTGGACAAGTTTCTGAATTTCGATAATGAGACCTATATTAGATGGTTTATAATTGTCATATAGGCATCTGTTATAAGTCTTCCAAAGTGTCCATATAATGCATCCTGGTAGAATTAGTTTAAGAAGGCCTTAAGTAATTTCTTGTTGTGACTAGTCCACCATTCCAAAAGATGTTCTTTCATATCACTCCCTTTTCTCCATTTAGGGCCACCAGAGTATTCAGCAAAATCATTCCAAATTGTAGCAGAAAAATCACAGCTTAGGAGTGTGTGTTCCTCAATAGCCTCATGTTTATTGCAAAAGTTGCATTTGCTAGGCATATTGAATGATAGTTTGTTAAGAACATTAGGAAAGGGAAGGTAATGGTTGACTGCTTTCCAAGTGAAGAGTTTCACCTTAGGAATTTGAAATTTGTTAAAAGAGAGAGTGTTAAACTGAGTGCTAATATCCCTTTCTCTAACTGCCCAGTAAGCTTCCTTGAAAGTAAAGGTCCCATTTACCCATGTGATATCATTATCTTGCATATTAGAATGCTGAAAACCCAGAGGTGCAATTCTACATATTCTTTTCCAGGATGCAGAGTCATACACCTTTGCTT